AATTGAATGAGCTATCGCTCATATTTTTAGGACCTTCATCTCTATTTTTCATGTTTTTGAACTTGATTAGACTAACTATATTTATCATTCTAACAAACCGCCTGATTATTATACCAAACATGTTTATATTTCAGATAGCTAGTTTCCACAATTCGTCATCATATGTTATGGAAATGTTAGTTGTGCTATAGGCCTACAACAGGGTTGATATTAACTTTTGAAAGCGTTGATACTATATTTTTGATGGATTGAAATAGAGCTGTCTGGTGATGGATCACAAGTCCATCTTCATGTATGTTGTTTGAGAATTACAATCAAGCAAACATGAGTTTCTACCTTTCCTAGAAACCTATATTTTTATATTCTGCACTTTGAAACTAACTTCCGAAATAATGCATGATAAAAAATAGGGTGTTCTATTAAAAAAAAACATTTTATGAATTATTTTGAAAACGTTACTGTCAATATTTTTTTGTTTTTGGCATCGTGAAGGCCATTGAAAATGCTACCAGTTTGTCCATTCAACCGAAATTCGTAGCATCAATAATAACGGAGTCACAATTATAACTCATGAGCCACTTAATCTCTCCTTATTTTCAAAATTCCAAATATATCATTTCTTTTTTTGAAATTGAAACTCTGATATATCTTGAAACTGCCCTACCAAAAAATATGATTTTTTAATCTTTACCGTGTATGAAAAGTAACTACATACTTCTTTTCAGAAAATAATGACCTCCCAAAAATTTGCCCACAAAAGTGATATGATGGATATTGTAAAATACTACTGGGGTGAAGGTTTGATAAGTGCATCGGGTGAGTAGTTTGAAAATATACAGTAATGATACCTCTATCTGGACAATTGGAAATAGAGGACTATTTCTTGAATCTGTTGGCTGTGATTTGCAGGTTTTATATATGACATTTCGTCTACCATTGCGACAAATACTATTGAACTCCCTTCATTATCACATCACCTTAGATAATGTCAAGCGCAATGATGAACTAAATGTCAGGCTCAAAACGTACACTATTTCCCGCGAGCCAGAAAATAGCTTCGATATATTTTATCTGTTCGTGAAAGGTCACAGGTTTCATTATTAGGAATATTCAGGTCAATAATTCCTACATTCAAAATTCCTCGTTTTGGAGTGGAGTGAACTCATTTTATATATTTCTCTCCCCGTATAGGTCCATTTCGGCTTTTTTGTATTTTCAAAAATATTGATTGAATATTTAGAGTCATTAAGTTATGTGTATTCAGCTTCATATGGCTTTGCAGATCGATTATTACTTAGTGTGCAGTAATAGACGTAATTTTCAATAATCAAAAATACCTGATGTTTGACTAATTTTCAATGGTAAAACAGGTTCATATATGAAATATTGTTCATGGAGAAGATCTACACCACTAACATTTATTATTTCAATAAGCTAGTGAGAATGATTGCCACACAAGGAAATCATCTACCTGTGAGAAGTCGCGGCGTTTCAGCTATAATCAATAATCTGAAAAACTACTGAACTGATTGAAAGTGTTCCCCCGAAATTGAAAAGCTACATCAAACAGAAATTCTGTAGGCTTCTTTTACTCGGGATATTCCCACGGGATCGGAATCAACGCGGATAGTTCACGCGGATGAAGTCACAAGCGAAAGCTATTGTTTACAAAAGAAATTTATAATAGTTCAGTCATTTGAGGTTTTATCTGCGGAAAAATTCCTGCTGAGCAGAATATCGGTGTACATCTTCATTATGGCGTTTTAATGAAGATGTGATGAAAATCGACATTGATATCGTGTCGGCTAAAAAAGTTATAAGGGTTAATAGGTCACGAAAATCAGATTTTTGGGAATATCTCGCGACCTATCGCTCGGAGGTCAATGAAGGTCATTATAAAAATTATTCCTCATACGATTTTATACAAAAAATGTCTCCAGTATTTTTCTGTAAAGTTGATCGTTTTCGGACTAGTACGCTGAGAAAGCGACTATATTATGATGGTGCACTCGTTTTCGCACCACCTTTGAGGTAGAATGCAAGGCGCGTTATTTTTTACATGGTTTCCCCCGTAGACATAATCTATGAACTGTAATAAAAGGTTTTTTTTTATTTTATGCTCAATAATTTTTTATTTGTCTATTGTAAAATAGGAAAAAACATTTTTGGATATAATTTTCTTATATATTCATGCGTCGTCGATATCCTCAATTTGAACCTCATCAAAGTTTCATGACAAAACATCGAGAGGACTTATTGATGTAATCAAATCAACATCTTCACAATTTCTTCACTAGTGGACTCTGCGATTAAGCATGACTGACCAGGACAATGTCCACAAGCTTTAGAACATCTCATTCCAATTTTCTTACATCCACATTAGCCGCTACAACCTTTTGTACAATTACAAAAGATTGTGTTTAGAAGATCATCGGATGCTGGTGGCAGTAAAGTTGTTATTGGTTGTAATATATTATTTTTTCAACTCCCAACCCCACTGTTCTGGATCAATTTCTTTTCCTAGCCAGGTTTTCATTTGATAATAGACTCGATAAATATGCTTTTGAGCTGCTGGAGAAGTTAGTGGTAATAATTGAAATTCCACAGCTGTGCTTTGTCTTGTTAGTTTAGCAAAGCTGCAGTATCTGTAATTGTAAATTGAATTTTTTAATTTTGGAGCACCGTACATTGCTAGTAGAAAATGTATTCCAGCATTAACAAGGGCATTTCGAGCGTAATTTTCTTGTTGAAATATTTCTGCAGAATTGTGTAAATCGAGTCTTTTTTCAAAAATCTTCATGACTTTAATTATTCCTTTCCCAAAAAGTGTTGGAGTTGTGTCACATCCGGTCATAGCACGTAGAAACAAAATATTTTTCTTGCAGTGTGAATACTTGTTGAGGCTCTCAATCGAGTATATTTTTATTTCAACATTGTTTTACCCTGGTTTCGTAAAAAAATGGATGCCGGTTGACCAAGTATTTGTGTGCGTGTCAACGATAATTGTATCATTGATTTTTCAATTGCTGTTTCAACTATCAAGACGTCAGCATTATCACGTGATTGTCTTGTAGAAATACCAAACTTTTTCGAAATTCTCAATGAGTATTTCAATTAATCTTCTTTTGTTAAATCGATAAGAAAAAATTTTTTTAACTGATAGGAACTTCCATCGATTCATTGAAGTGCACAAGATGTAGAAACGGCTGCGGTTCGTTTCAGTTGTTCGATCGCTTTGATATTTTTAGTGGTATCGGAGTAACCATAAAAAATTACAACAATATTTTGACCAAAATTGTTCGATAGTTGAATAATATATTCGTTGATGATAATATTGAATGTATAATTTTTTTGCCATACAACACGATGCATAAGAAATCCATCATCAATTATGTATGTTGCTCCATCACAAACTAATTGATAATTATTTGGCTCCAAGTATTGATATATTTTTGATTTCTGAGTTTTTCTCATGTCAACATTATTGAATAGTGCTGTTGGATATGGATTTAATTCATTTTGTACATATTCACAAAGACTTTCCTCGAATTTTTTATTTAAACTAATTCGTTAAAACAGCAATAACGGATCGATGGGTACCTGAGAGTTATGAACCATGATAGAAGTGTTCACTGATGATAATATGGAAGAACTCTGTCAGAGCGTTATAACGTAATTTTGTCGAATGTCACACCTATCATTTTTTCAATTGACTGCAGAACAATTTCTTTGGCATTATAACAGTTGATTTGATCATTGCCAACAATTTCTGTAGGTAAAGAAACTACTTTATTGCAAGTTGAAAAAGGATTGTGTGAAGTGAAGTTTTTCAATGTCATTATTATCTCTTTCGATTCGTAAATCTCTTGAGTCGACATGTTGATTCGTGGTATCAAATGAGAGGTCGCAAATGTTTCAATTTCTACACAAATTACATTTATTACTCTAGTCTAGCTCCGCTCTAGTCCGAAAACGGTTTACTTTACAGAAAAACGCAAAAGCCATTTTTTGTAGATAATCGTATGAGGAATGATTTTTATAATGACCTTTATTGACCTCAGAGCCATAGGTCGCGAGATATTCGCGAAAAACTGATTTTCGTGATCTTCTGACCATTATAACTTTTTTAGCCGGCACGATGTCAATGCCGATTTCTCACATCTCCATTTAAACGCCATAATGGAGGTGTATACTGAAATTCAGCTCAGTAGGAATTTTTCTGCAGATTGAGGTTGAAAAAACCTAAAATGACTGGATTATAATGTTTTTCATAATGACAAAGTTACATTTTTCATGATGGAATATCCACTCAAAATTGCCACCCTGCTAAGCCGGGACTATTTATAGGCAGCGAAAGTTAATAATTTAAAGAAAAACAAGCGAACATATTCAAAACAATTATTTCACATATACTCTGTTTCAGGTGCAATATATAGGAAACAAAAGAAAGTAATTCAACCTATATTTGATTTGAGTTATACTGAATCAGCAATGGATTTATTTCATAAACACACAAATATCTGCATGGAAAAATTGAATGAATTCGTTGGTAGAGGAACTTTCAACATTTATGAATATATCTCCCTTTTTGCTGTGGATTTGACAGGAGGTGACTCTTTTTGTATTATTATAAAATGATATATACAACGAAAGATCAGATTTCATCCGTCAACTGTTTTGAAAGGAGGTACAGACGATTGCTACATAAATATAACATAGAAAGTTCTAAGGCTAACATAGAAAAAAAAGTTCAATATAGTTGCCCTCAAAGACAATTCAACGATTATAGCTGTCATTCAGTTCATCCCTACCACTTTTATAGTACTACTTGTGTTTATACTGAAAATAAGTCTCAGTTTCGACAATTACTTTTTCATAGGCGTTGCATTTCTTTCCAGCGAGCATTCTTCTGAGTCGAAATCACAAAAAATGTCGATGGGGGCCAGATCCGAAGAATGCCGTGGAGGCGGAAACAATTCGAAACCAAATTTATGCAATTTTACCATGCAGTTCACTCAGATGATGATCGTTTCGATTCTGGTATGAAATGATGGAGGCATGTGTTATCGTTTGTCACATATTGCACACTATAGTGTAAAAGCTCAGAATCATCTACTCGTTATGGTCTTGTCGATTGTGAGCTCGCTCAACACCCACTTTGAACAAAGCTTTCGTATACCCAAATATTCATGCACAATATATCCAACACGTTTCTTTGATATCCTTGGAGCCTCAGCTACCTTGATCAACTTCACTTTACTGCCATTCAAAATTAAATTACAAACTTTCTTCATGTTTTTGTTGGTAACAGCCTGTTAGGAACGTTCACTGCGCGCATCTTCTTTGGTGCTCATTTCACCTCGTTAATATTTAGCAAACCAATTCTCAACGGCTGATTTTCCTGATGTAGAGTTCGAATAATGTTCAAGCCAATATTTTTTATTTCTGAAAAGCAATGCTTTATTAACACACGAAATTCCCTTTTATTCATTTTCTTCAAACCAACAAAAGGTGCTTCACTCAAAATTTTCTATTCCAACAAACTAATAGAATGATTGTTGCAATGAATTTGGTACTAGTAGCCTCTGTGTTAGCCAACGAACTTCTCCGCCCATGTATTATTTCGTGTCGTTATGTCAAGAAATACGTAGAGATAATTTGATCAAAATTATCCCAAACAATTGACGAGATTCTAGAAAAAACCATTGTCGTTGAAAAAAAAAATAATCTACCCAAAAAATACTTCCTGATTATTTGAAGGCGATTGACAGTGATGAATTTCATTAGTTCAGACTCCCATTGTCTGCTATTATATAAAATGATTAGGAATCCCTGAAAGAACTGATAAAAAAAAGAATTGAAAAAAGAATAGTTACTTCATGATGTTTCGATTGTTATTACCCACAATTGTCTTCGGGAGATGACTGGACTAAATTCTCCGAGAGATGACTATTAATGGGTCATTCGAGTACTTTCACTTATTTCCGCTTTTCTCTTTTGCTTCAAAAGAGAAAAGTGGGAGATGACTGTTTGGCGGGAGTTGGCCAGTTTTCGATTGATTATGGGTTTTCTATATGTTGCGTATCTCTGAGCTAGCTTGACTAAATACATTGTTGGACAACATGTATGCAACTTCTTTGAATTCCCTCCTAAACCAATGTTCTCCTCTGTGTATGATTTCAGCTTGGGACCACTTGATGCTATGTTAATGGGTCCAAACCTACTCTGCTATTCCTGATTTGCTGGTTTCTTTCCGCTATGTGTATGTGTTTTTTGTGCTCGGCAATGCGAACATTCAATGGCCTGACAGTTTCACCGATTTAGGATTTTCCGCACTCACAGAATATCCGGTAAATGCAATCTTGGAATCGCAGTTCGCGTTTGGTGGCCTGGTTTTTATGAGACTGCTACGGATAGTGTTTACGGATCTGATGTTGTACTTGGACCAAATTTTTATTTTCTTTTCCGATAATCCTCTGATGTAGGAAAGTGCACGCACTGGTTGTGATGGCTTCTATTCCTTGCGAGGTTTCTGCTGTCTTTTAGCGAAAGTCTGTTCCACCATCGATTTAAAGTAGTAATTTTGTTGAAGATCATTTTTGATGATGTCTAGTTCCTTCTCGAGACCTTCCTTCGTATTACAAAGCCCAAAAGCATGGTCTAATAGAGTCTTGATGATTCCTGTATATCTAAAACCCAGTCACACGGGACAGTATCTGAATCACGAATCCAACCACCATCAATCCACTAAAAGAGAAATCATCAAAACTCTATTAGACCGTGCTTTCGGGCTCTGTGATACGAAGGAAGGTCTCGGGAAGGAACATGACATCATCAAAAACGACCTTCATCGAAATTGCTACACCAAAGCGATAGTGGAACACTTTGGCTAAAAGAGAGCAGAAGCTTCGCAAGGAAGAGGAGCAGTCACCACCAGTGTTTGCTCTTCACTACATTAGAGGATTATTGGAAAGGATAAGAAGAATTGTGTCCAAGTTCAACATCAAAACCTGCTTCAGATCCGGAAACACTATTAGTAGTAGCTCACGAAAACTAGGCCTGCAAACGCGGATTATGATTCCAAGAATTGCATTTACCGGATACCCTGTGAGTGCGAAAAATCCTAAATCGGTGAAACTAAGACGCCATTGAATGTTTGCATTGCAGACCACAAGAAACACACACAGCGAGGGAAAACCAGCAAATCAGAAATAGCAGAGCATGTTTGGACCCATCAACATTACATCGAGTGGTCTCAAGGTGAAATCATACACAGGAAGGAACATTGGTTTAGGAGGAAATTCGAAGAAGCCGCATACATGTTATCCAACAATGTATTCAGCCAAGCTAGCGTAGAGATACGCAACATATGGAAACTCATAATCAAGCGAAAAATGGCCAACTTCCGCCAAACGGTCATCTCCCACTAAACCGTTGAAGCGAAAAAAAAAGCGCAGAGATAAGTGGAACTACTCGAATGAACCATAAATATTCATTAATCGGAGAAATTTGTCCAGTCATCACCCGAAGACGACTGTAGATACTAACAATTGAAACGTCGTGAAGTAACTAGGCTTGGTATCTTTCAACTTTCTGTTTTTAATTTTTGTTCAATTGTTCTATTTTTACTTGTATTTTATTTCACTGTCATTTCATTTCAGGGTTTTTTTCCTAATATAATTGCTATTTTCAGCTATTCTCTTTTTAATTATTCTTTTATTTCGGTTCTTTCAGGGATTTCGAATCATTTTATATGATATCAGACAATGGAAGTTCGAACTAATGAAATTTCCTTCCTGTTTAATTCAATACTTTTCTTGGGGTGCTTGCTGTGAAAGCATTGTTTTGATCTGAAAAATTACGAGTTTTAATTATTCAGTCATTCGAAATCATCAAGTTTTCATCAGTTTCAACATCTTCATTCAATAGAACTAACATATGCTCTTTCATTACCAGAGGTCATCGCTGGACAAAATATCAGAAGTCAAGAATTCGGTAGGACCGATTTTTGTGACTCGCTAGTAGAGTAAGTATTTTATTTTTTCATGCGCACTGGCCCCAGGCAGTGCAGGCATACAGTATTATGGGCATGAGAACGGTTTTGATCATCAGTAACTTTATTTTCAACCCCATGTTGCTTCGGCGTCCTTTGATAGGTGCCAGGCATTATCTGGCGTGTCTAGCCATTCCGATTCTCTGCCGTACATGAAACTGAAATGTTAATCTCCTGTATAAGATGACCTTCAAGTATGTCGCTTTGTTGGTCCACGGAATCTCTTGTCCGTTGAAGGTGACGTTGCCTTCCGGTTGTACAAACCTGCGAGTGAACAGTATCGCCTGACTCTTGTCAGGGTTTAAACTGATCTTCCACAGGTTGGCCCACTCCTCTAATCTGTCTGCCTGTTGCTACAAGTACCTCATGACATGCGCTTGGCTCGTGGATCTCGCCAGCAGGGCCGTGTCGTCCGCGTAGAGCGCCAACTTCTTGAAGTTGTTCTCTGGCCCTATGAGGCCTCCACTTCTTAAACTCTTGTCCAACAGCCCTCCCAGCCGTCCACTACAACCACGTTACCCGCAACAAAATGGGGACCTGACCGGCCCACTAGGGACTCCTGTTACCGACCGCGATTTCTCTTATTCACTGTTACAAAATACAATTCAATATATGAATATGTCTTTATCTTTGGTGCAATCTCTAATGCAACAATATTCAACTTTTAAATAATTGTATTTGCTTTATAAATAAAATTCAATAAAATATTTGTTAAAAAAAATCCACACCGCTAAGTTACTTGTGGACTGGATTACATTTATCTATTCGTTTCATGTGATTGTTAATAAAAATAAATATTTAACCTCGTTTAATCTACTTTCTTTGTCTATTCTAACAAATTAGGGTTCTGTCAAAGTCTTAGAGGCCCCATTATCCTATTATGCCCATCAGGGCCTCCAATAGGTTAAAGACGGCCCTGTCATAGATAACAACGTGTGATCGTTGAATGGGCTCTGGAGCAGTTGCCAACTGACCCTGATTTCCATCGAAAAATCATACAAAGCGATGAGGCCCATTTCTGGATCGATGCATGGGTGGGTGAACAAACAAAATTGAAGAATTTGCGAGGATACCAATTCACATGGGATCAAAGAGGAAAACGTCACTATTTGATATATATTTTGGGCTAGTGGCGTCATCGATTCATATTTCTTTGAGAACACTTTGGACAGGCCATCACTGTCAATAGCGAGCACTATAGGTCGATGATAACCAACTTCTTTCGCCCTGAATTTCATGATCTAGACACCAACTACATGTGGACTGCGCTACTTGCCACACAGCTCATTCCACATTGGATATTCTGCACAAGCGTCTTGAGGGCATGGTCATCCCACGTGAAGGTGATGTGAAATGGTGCCACCGAGATCGTGCGATTTGATCCCGTGTGACTTTTTCTTGTGAGTTTTCAATTCACAGGTAATTGCAAATAAGCCATAAACCGCAGCGGTCCTGAAAGCCAACATAACTCATGCCATAGATCAAATTCAGCCAGATTTATGCGTCAGAGTCATGGAAAATTAGACGTTTCGGATGCGCTTCACCCAGAGAAGCCATAGGTTAGAGAAATCAGTGTGTTAATAGGCATTTCATACGAATTCAAAAAGTTGATGATATCCCTCACACTCTTAGTTTCATTCAAATTTGAATATAGCAGTTATTAATGCATTACTTTTTATATTGTTCCAGATTTTTTTGACAAACTAAATGGTATTTTGAAGCAGTATGAAGGATGCAATGATCCTTTACGACTNATATAATTTAACAGGGCTGCATCTGAAAAAAATATTGACATATGAAGAAAAATATGAACATGAAACAATGCCGATTACTTTCTTCTCTTGTTGATAACGGTTACGTGATTATAATTTCTTTGAAATTGTTCATTCTTATTGTTCACAAAACTTTTACAGATGAATACATTCTTTATCAGATAATTGATAATTGAAAATGAATCCGTCTGTTTTGAATTTTCATTATTTAAAAACACATTTTTTGATTTACTTAATAGCTATTGATTTTCAGATAATATCAACATTGAGAAGACATTTTTATTGGAAGTCAATATTTCCACTCTTTTGGTTATGATCAGTGGAGCTGTTGGAGAAATTATATGAAAAAATATATTTGAGAAAACAGTAATTCTTAGAAAATTCAAATAAAAATATATCAACCCATAATTTCACCAATATTTTTTGAAATGGTGTGGTGTATCGATGAAAACCATATTATATATCCAATAAACAGACAACAGTTTTCAGGAAATAGTAATAGTAAATAGTAATAGACGACAAAGAAACTATTTTGATAGGTATAGAACGAGACCTTCTGGCGTAAATTGAATGCATCAAAAACACGTCTTTCAAAAAAAGAAAAAAAATAATTAGAACTTGAGAATCAGAAAAATATTAGAAAATCACATTGAGAAGAATAATAAAATTGAAAATTGAATTCTCTTAATTTATCAGCTCATTTATTATGAGAAAATTCGGATTGAATAGTCTCACAAGTTACATGGAAAAATCACATCAAATATATCAAAATTCTTCAACCTCAACTGGAAAATGAAGTGTTATTATGGATATACATATTGAAATGAAAATTTTTCACACCGACATTAAGTTATAATGATAAGAAGAATGTAATTGAAGAATGAAAAAAAAAAACTTTCTCATTCGGGATTGAATCTTTCCAAATCAGAAGTGGATAGATTCAATTTAATGTAGCTACATTAGCTACAATTGGTATTATTGGATATTGAGTTCAGTAGATGGATACATTAAATATAACATCTTTTTTCAGGTTATTTGAGCAATCAGACCCAAAACGATTCCACTATTATATACGTTCTTGCAGTCATCAATTTCGTGACATGCTTCACCTGGATTTCAGAAAGGATTTTTGAAAGACTCTACACTAGAAAATCTCCAGATGCATTGTAAATTTCACCTTTCAGTTGTAAATGTATGAAAGTATAGATAATGAAAATAATAAAAGAAGATAATAATTAGTAATGAGACAAATTTTATTTTCCTGATAATATACAAAAGAGTAAAGGGTAAGTCGACCTATGGATAATAAAAAATCAAAATCTCTACCAATTCTCTCAGGACTTCACGCATCAACTGCAAAGTGACCTAACTCTGAATTCAATACAGTAACATACATGCAAAATTGGTGAGTGACATCTCTTACAGGTAGTTGTCTGACTTTCCTTGAATACAAAGGATTTATTATTATTTGTTTTACAGTGAGTAAAAGAAGAGAGTTGATGAATTTCTTACTTTGCTACTCCTGACCTTCGAAATCAAGGAATACAACGCTTTGTGATGCTTGGTTGGCCGTTAGCAGCAGAATATTCAATCCTTTCTAAACATACCCTTGCTCAGTGGACACGGGTGGGTTTCTTTTTCGAAAAAAAAAAAAATTAAACCCGAATCGTTATACCAACTATATTATTAAATTAAACAACCTATCAAGTTTGTTAATCCTTAATAAAATCAAATAAATCTTAATTGCTTGTCGTTGACAATTGACAGGGTGACAATGTTGTTGAACCGGACCTGGATAAATATCTCAAAACAAGAGTCCGTCGATGAAAGACGTTTGACAGTTGGGGAAATCGCAATTATAAATGATACCTAGCCTGATTTGAGTAAGGAAAAGAGTGAGAGGAGTGACAGGAAAAAAAAAGAGGGGCTCTGGTAGACAGGGGTCGAAGGCCGATCTTCATGTAAATATTGCAATAGATGCAAACATGCAATCTTGTAAATTGTATGGTAATATTATGTTCTTGAGACAATTATTCGTCATGAATTTACTAGTTACATGCGCTAAATTCCTCAACCTTTTAGTTTATATACTGAAAGTGTACACTGTTAATGCTAGAGGTAAGTTGTTTGATTTTGACCCACTATTAGGTTCTTCTTCTTAACATCTAAAAAGGTAAAATAAAACCGTAACAACTCATTCCATACAAAAGTTACTTCTGGGAGAATCGAACGTTTAAAGCCTGGAACTTTCATCATATGTTTTTCCCAAATAACATTGATATACTCCTGAATAGTGGAAATTGAAAAAAAATTGGTTTCCAATAGGGTCTTTCATTATTTAAATGAAATAAAGTGTTTGTGGGATAACAGGTGAAAGTTTTGTTCATTGACAGTCCTATCCATATTCTCCAGCTCAAGTTCTATAATGATGGCAGCTGTAGTTCTGCACTTCTTAGTAGCTGTCTGTGCTCATGAATTTATAGACATTAAACAGACAGGGCCCCAATCAGATACTTTCATTTGCAACATAGCGTTCACTGTCTTTTTCATAGTCAAAGAAAATAACATTTCAATACTGTTTCATGAAAAATATACCAGAGACCATTTTTATGTCATCTTGATGAGACCATTGTTTCTCTTGACAATGTGGATCATCTGGCTTACAGCGAGAAACATCAAGATTGGAGGTGAGTTGACTCACGTACAGCCTATAAAGTAATTCTAATTCTCAAACTTCATGTTTTTGTTTTAGATTTGAGGGCATTCCTCCCTAGATTATTGTTTCAGCTGAATAGCTTCATTTCCATCAGCTGTTTCGTGAGATATTCGTCATAAAACCGAAACAATTCGAAATGTCGCTTCGAAAGAAAACCTAATTAATCTAATAGGCCCGTCCCCACCTTCCCGACAAGGAAGTTGTTGTTTGAGAATTACAATCAAGCAAACATGAGTTTCTACCTTTCCTAGAAACCTATATTTTTATATTCTGCACTTTGAAACTAACTTCCGAAAGGTAATTTAAAATGAAATTCAATCAGCTTTCTACACGGCACAAAAACCGATAAGATAAATAAGTTGAACCATTTATATGAATAGTTGGAAATTTTCAGATTGTTGTGAGAGACGAAAGGAGCAAGTGGAGTTGAAACCATAATGTGAGTATATTTTCAACTTCTATTGAGAGATATTTTTTCTGATGTTACTTGATAATTGAAGATTCATGGATAAAAAACTAGTAAAGAAATTTCAAGACCTAGAGAAAATGTTATGTGTGTGCCATTTAGAAATTGTTAAGTTAGACGAGAGTGAACGCGATGAGAAAGAATGTTAATTGCCATTAAAACAAATTTATTTATTAAATTGACATCTTCAAATGAGAAACTCAAATACCTTGCAATTGGAAATGAATAATGAACCGAAGAAAATATCAGCATTGAAGAAAATCTTTCGAGTAACTTTTTTCATTAAGAATTACTCGGTTTCCTGAACAAGAGTTTGATAGTGGTAGTGGTTTGCCGGAGACATCAAAATAATTTGTTCGTGGAGCTTTCAAAAAGCGAATTGCTAGTAACATGAGAAAAATATTAACAATTTTCAATGAAAGAAAAAAACAACATCAAGGGATTGAAGGAGGAATATACGTTTTTTTTAGAACAGGCAAATGCAATGTGTTTGTGATCCTGAATAAACCAAAAAGCTACAACACAACTGACTATTATATTGAAAGCGATGCTCATAATAAACTATCATATAGGTAACCTACACAACGTTAGTGAAATTTAGAGTCGAAAAGTATGAAAACTTGATTACACTGGCTTTCCGCAGAAGTTATCTAATTCTACAATTATCAAAAATATACGGTCTGCCAAAAATTCATAAGCTAGGCAAGTGTGACTGAGTGGATCAGCTCCAGGTTCATCTTCGTATAAGATCGTCAAATGACTGAGATAATATGTTTTGGTTGGTTTCCGCGAGTAAAAGTTAATTTCTGTCATTCTTCATTTGTTTCAGGAGCACTTTGGTTCTACTGACCTTGATACTTCTCACCCTCTTATGCATATATCTCTGGAATAGAAGGCATCTGTATGCAGCTGCTGCTCATTTCTGTGGACCCTTCGCCCTTCCCTTCATAGGAAATGGTTTTACGCTAATGTGCGACCTAGAAGGTATTTCAGATTCTCCGAATCATCAAACATAAATTTGCCTAGCTCTCAAAAATAGTCATCCTAAACCCAAATATGACTACAACTTATGTTTAGTCAAACAAAAAACATATTCAAATTAATGATGGTAGTTACTACGAAAATCCTTTTCTTTTCTCTTTCATACAACTCGTCAAAATGTCATCAAATTTGTTTGTCGATACATTGTATTTTACAGTTCAATAGCGACTCGACCAAACTACACATATGTTATCGATGTGCTACCGAACATATATAAAGTATAATAAAATAAATGGAAATTGGTAGTAAGAGTGCTCTCTTCAGTAAAGCAGCCTGTGATATACATGTGACCTATCAGTTGCGTTGACGAAATATCATATTTTGAAACTAATTATCCAATTCCTGATGGAGACAAATCCAAAAACACAAAAATCATAGAAATCGGTCAGGCCGTTCTTGAGTTCCTCAATCATTATTATCAGTATTATCAGTAACGTCATTTGGCCCATCTGTTCTCGGGGCGTTCTGGGCACCCGTAGAAGCTAACTGGATGCTCGCCCTTGCAATTGAAGCATCGCACGGGCAAGTTTTTCGGTCTCTTGCACTCGCTTGTTAGGTGTCGTCCGGCACACTTCACACAGGCTGGGACTGCTTTGCAGTTCCGCTGTGTGGCCGAACTTGTGACACCTAAAGTATTGTCCTGTTCTGTTTCTGAGACGTTAAGTTTCGGCGCTTACGCGCATGTTTTGAATTTCCTTTACTTCGTTGATGTTGACTCGACGTCTGGGAACCAGGCCTAACACGAACATTATTGGTTTTTTATTAGTTTTGCTCATGCGAGCGATGGAAAGGAATTCAAAGTCTTTCCCAATTCTGTCTTGATGTTTTCTATTTCCAGGGATTCCGGGCCTCCCCGGAAAACTACTCTTAATGGCTTATCTACTTGTACCGTATAGGTGTGATACGGGATTTTTTGGCGATGCAGGATTTGCATTCATCTGAGGTTATGTTTTGTGTGGCGGCGATCGTATTGAACTGCTTCCACTTTTCTTCAGCACGAATAGTTATTGGTGGAGGTCTGTCAGCTTTTTTCTTCATTCCGCCTTGATGAGTTGCCGGAGCACCCTCGACCTTAGGGTCGTCGCCTCAATCCAGTTGTTCGGGTATAGGGTCTCCGGGTGTTATCCGTCTGGGCTACCTGAGCAGCCTTTTGTCTGGGGTCTTCCGGCAACTCACCCGGTTGCTGTGATGTACCGGGTTTGACATCAGGGGTCTTTTGTTTCAATAAATTGATGGATGTAGCCGTAACTACGTGGTATTTGTTTGCTTGCCGTATTTGTATGATATTGTCAGTTCTATACTGCCAATAACATACCAGTATAATGTCGCATCTATTATTGCAAGTATTGCATCTCTCGAATTGACTAAACTTCCCCCCATGCCCCCTTCCGGGTTGAGTGCCCTGAAGTAGAAGCTTCCCCCCCTAGCTAGTTAGCGAGAAGAACCTAATACCTCAATCCATCCACCCCCGCCTTCCGAGCGGTCCTCAACTTATCGATGGCCATTTCAGCAAGATTGATATCTGTCAGCCTTTAGGTGCTATTCTTTCTAATCGGTTAAATTATTTTGTCATGACTATTCCTAACTGAATTTTTGCATGGGGGCCCCCAGAAGCTAACAGGCGGCTATTGTTTCAAGCGTCGAGCATTCCTCAGTGAATCTGAGAAAAAGTGAATCGCGGTCGAATTGTCCTGCAGTGAACCTACCTGGAAGAGAGTTTATCTAGTTAGTTTATGCTTACCTGAGCCGCCTGATGGCGACTCGCGGGNTTCCTTATATATGGTGATATCAGGAATTTCGTTTCTTCTCATTGGATCATTAATCAGTAAGTATACTGAAATTTCATTGCCTTAAAATAAATTTTCTAATAAGTGAATGAGGTTTTCGCTATTAGGTTCCGCTACATTTGTTACTTTTTGGGACTGTTGACTATCTTTCAAATTGAGGACATATACCATCAGCTGATCGTAAATAAGTTCGGCAACTGGTTTTCCATACTGAAAATTGTCTATTCCATGAAATCTGATAGAATTTCTATAGAATGTATCTCATGAAATGACATTTTTGTACCAACATTCTGAGAATGTACATCTGTATAAATTCAGGTTCATGAAGTATTTACGCTCTCGAACATATTTTGTTGATACTGGTGATTTCGATAAAAGACATTATAAACATACTAGCTGACCCTGCAAACGTCATTTTGCCACATGAATTATTTCTATCAGAACAATAACACTCACAAATAATATTACTCTCTCGATGTTTTAGTGCATACAATATTGTTCGTTAGTCCTTGTTTAGCTAACACAAACAAACTGGATGGTTTGCTCACTTGAGAGCATGCCACGTATTATTGTCCGCGTAAAAAACGGTGTGCCCAAATCCAAGTTACAAACGGAGAAAGAGTGAGAGCTGACAACACCAAACTGTTTGCACTAACAAACGTTGAGACGAATCAGCTCTATACCATCTCTATCTCTCCCACACTCATATGACAAATCGGCCCGTCTCATTCTGATTGGTCGACTGGGTAATGATGAAAAGTGAAGGAGTGGGGGTGGACTGAAGTGAGGCCTTCCCTACTAAATTGAACACGTTTCAAATGAATTGGCACATTCGTAGATAATAAGAGATTCGTGGTATTATTATATTCTCATCTCGGAACTTGCTGAAATCTGTTGAAAAAAATCTGTTTTTCCGTTAACCAGCTGTCGCACTCTTACGAACGACAACCCTCAGAAGTCGAAACTTGTGCGAGCTGAGGATTAACGATGTCTTACCTTTCAACATGTGATTCCTAACACGGGTTGAACGTTAACAAGTGAAAATCGATTGTTCGGACTAGGCCTTGAACCACCGACCAACACGGCAGTCTATTCGAGTGAGTGAAAAAGCACCCAAGCACCCACGTCGAACCGCCTGACTACCGACCGACCAAACCGCTGGCAGCGTCAACATTTTTTATTGATTTTTCAATGAACAATCGCGTGCTGTTGCATAGCCGTGACACATTCAAATAACGTATAAAAATAAATATTTAACCTTGTTTAATCTACTTTCTACGTCTATTCTAACAAATTAGGGTTCTGTCAAAGTCTTAGAGGCCCCATTATCCTATTATGCCCAGGGCCTCCAATAGGTTAAAGACGGCCCTGTCATAGATAACAACGTGTGATCGTTGAATCGGCTCTGGAGCAGTTGCCAACTGACTCTGATTTCCATCGAAAAATCATACTCAGCGATGAGGCCCATTTCTCCATCGATGCATGGGTGGGTGAACAAACAAAATTGAAGAATTTGCGAGGATACCAATTCACATGGGATCAAAGAGGAAAACGTCACTATTTGGTATATATTTTGGGCTAGTGGCGTCATCGATTCATATTTCTTTGAGAACACTCTGGACAGGCCATTACTGTCAATAGCGAGCACTATAGGTCGATGATAACCAACTTCTTCCGCCCTGAATTTCATGATCTGGACACCAACTACATGTGAACTGTGCTACTTGCCACACAGCTCATTCCACATTTGATATTCTGCACAAGCGTCTTGAGGGCATGGTCATCCCACGTGAAGGTGATGTGAAATGGTGCCACCGAGATCGTTCGATTTGATCCCGTGTGACTTTTTCTTGTGAGTTTTCAATTCACAGGTAAATGCAAATAAGCCATAAACCGCAGCGGTCCTGAAAGCCAGCATAACTCATGCCATGGATCAAATTCAGCCTGATTTATGCGTCAGAGTCATGGAAAATTAGACGTTTCGGATACGCTTCACCCAGAGAAGCCGTAGGTTAGAGAACTCAGTAGGTTAATAGGTATTTCATACGAATTCAAAAAGTTGATGATATCCCTCACACTCTTAGTTTCATTCAAATTTGAATATAGCAGTTATTAATGCATTACTTTTTATATTGTTTCAGATTTTTTTGACAAACTAAATGGTATTTTGAAGCAGTATGAAGGATGCAATGATCCTTTACGACTATGGTTCGGGCCACATTTAGTGATAGCCCTGAGAGATCCAGTACACCTTGAGGTTAGTTGAAAACTGAAGCAAGCGTAGTGAAATTAATTTGTATGAATATAAACAATGTTTTACTGATGAAATGAACAAACAAATCGTAATCGAAGACAATGAGCAGCTGGACATTGAATTATGACCGACAGATATTTATGCAAGGTACCTTTCAGAGCATAGTCTCGCAAATGTTTCCCCCGCTTTCGAAGATGGAGCTGTGACAAGTTAGGAAACTTTTTTTCAGATGTAGGTGTGTGTCATACAAACAGTTGAGCTGCGTTGAAATCTGTACAGGTACAGTATCAGGCTCACTGCTGTTTGGGTCGGATTCCAGCATTGTCATGCTGCTGAATGGACGAGAACCATCTGCAAGATTACCTCTGTCGGGTTTCTTGTAAATATACACAGGGTGGGGCACCCCATAAGACATATTCCTTGTAAACCAAACTATTAATTTTCCCAAGAATTTCTACATTTCATCATAATTTGCGTTTTTCCCCGTGGGTTGATCAATAATTGACTACACTGAATAATGAAACTTACTAAATCACTCCGCGTATCGCACTGTAACGTTCACTTGATTGTGACCTTGACTGTTTCGACATGCCCGCTGCTCGAGTTGAAATATCGTAATCGAACATCGTAGAAATTTTGTTCTATCGAAGTCGGAAGCACTTTTCTAGCTGCTTCTCGAATGGCGGGAAATCATCGCTCTCTTAGCTGCGTCACGTTTGGCCCATAACTACCAGTGGCGGTCGGCGCTACTTTCCCCCAGGGCATGACATTGACAAAGGCGGCAAAAAAAATAATTTTGGAGTCTACTGGGTTGTGTTGTTTTAAATGGAACACTCTGTATTTCGTCACACTTTGGAATAGGTCAGGAAAAAATTATAAGATTTCATTGCAGGTACTACGTACCTAACTATAACCATTTTCCAGTTTTTGATTTATTTCATGAAGATGCTAAGTACAATTGAAAACTAAATAACATCGAAATGTATGGAATTCATCCCTTCGAATTTTGACCAAGCATAAAAAAGATTTTGGGCTATTGATTTCGATAAAACCCGTTTCTCAAAATAGTAGGTACAAAATGTTCAAAAATCATTGTCACATTTTTATAATTTCGGACAAAGATCACTTTGTTATATNGACAAAATGGTTTAGATTTTCGCGGCTGAGGTTTTCAGTGTCACTGTTTTTCGAGTACGAAAGCCGTGAATTTTTGTTATTTCGAATAAAACACCCAGTATATTTTTGGTCTGAACGATATAAAACTCAATTATCATTCATTTTATTCCGGGATACCCTATACCTACACACACACTATCTTCCGACAGTCCAAGTCACTGCATATGATGATTCAAATGACAGTGACCTGTAAGAAGGCCTGTTAGCCGTCGTAGTTCATCCCTACTGTAGTCCAAAAACTGTTTGGAATCAAGCTTCGAAGGGTGAATAAACGCCTTGGAGTGAGCCAATCCTGGTAGATTCTGCCAGATGTCTATAAATCTTCTTGCCATCCAGGTGTTCAGTGTTTGTTTAGCAAATCCCAAAGCGATGCCAATGACAGGTTCTGGTCCAATGAAGCCGCTTGCAGCACCCTCCTTTACAAGAGAGTCCGCAGTTTCATTGCCTTTCAGGCCAGTATGGCCAGGAATCCAGATCAGAGACAATCTGTTCAGTCTTCCTATCAGAGGTCATTTCCAGAATGCTGTGACTTCCAATGTCAACCAACAGTCCGTTGCACTCTGCATTGAATTGATTTGTGCAATTGGCAATGTGCACAAGTCTGTATGCAGTACATCTAGCCTCTCTTTCCAGGAAATTTTGGAGAGGAGGTAGATCTAGAAGGATCTCCATGACCGCTGACGTTGTGGTACTGATTGCACCACTGATAGCCAGACAAGCCTGTCTCTATAAGCCGCAGGGCTTCGCTTGGGCCGTTTTCAGTAAAGCCTTCAGCCACCAAGCAATTGCACCATGAGTGATCCTTAGTCGGACAATCATCACATAAATCCAATGGATTTGTTTGGGACCTAAACCCCAAGTTTTATCACAAATCCTTCGATATGTCAATAGAGACAGTCTGGCTTTGTGTGAAACTTTTTCCAAGGGAACGTTACAGGTGAGTCTTTTATCAAGGGCAATGTCAAGATATTTCACCTCCGTTGCAGATGGAATGACCACAACATCGAGGAAAAGTGGCGTTAGATCGTCCAATTTTCTTCTCCTGATGAAAGGGATTAGCACAGTTTTGCTGGGGTTGACAGATATCTGTTCCCTCAGGCAACAACTGTGAACAACGTCCAACGCGCTTTGGAGGATATTACAAGCTACCCTTCCTGACTTGGACCTTGCCAGGATGCTATGCTGTGCTTCATCCTCGATTCAAGAACAATGAGAACGTTTTTGAGAAAAGGAGAACTAAAAAACGTTTTGTAATATCTGAAGATACAGAAATTGATGTCTTGGTCTACTCTGAGGTAAATCCAAATAATTCAGAGATGTATCTAAAGCTGTTCCACCGTCTGTTATTCAACGAATTCTGAAGGAACATAAAATTTCTCTTTTTAAGTTAGGACCAGTGAACACTAGAACCTGGTGACCCTGAGAGACTATTGGGGTTTTATCGGTGGTTTATATTTGAATGCAGACAATGTCCAAACTTCTATAAAAATATTGAATGGAGCAATGAGGGTAATTTTCCAAATTGTGGGATATATAATATAAATAATTTTCATTATTGGAGTAGTCATAATCCATTTCTAGTCCATCCCCACCATCCGGAAAGACGATTCAGTAATAATGTTTGGTGTGGTATAAGTAGAGGCAAAATTATCGGTTCATTTTCCTACCAAGGTTCTTTGAACGGACCCCGTTACATTGATTTATTAACAAGAGTGTTGGAAGAGTTTATCGATGATCTTGATCTGGAGGCTCGTCAGATGACCTATTTTCAGCAGGATGGAGCACATAATTTCAGTGGCGTAAAAATGATGTTATGAGACTGATTTGGAAACAGAAGGATCTCTACGAATGATCCTGTTAAGTGGCCTCCACGTTCACCAGACATGACACCACTAGATTTTCATTTTTTGGGATTTTTGAAAATGAGGTGTATAAAATAAAACATGAAGTAGATGAAGTGAAAAATTATATTGAAACTCTAATTAATAGAACTGATGGCCGAATTGTGTTGAAAACAACACGTAGTGTCAGAGAAGGGCCCAAATAAGTAGGTATTGTCTTTGAATATTTACTCGATATTTTTTTATATCTAACGTTTTGTCTACCACTGCGACAAATATTATTGAACTCCCTTCATTATCACATCACCTTAGATAATGTCAAACGCAATGGTGATTCCTAATTCCTACATTTAAAATTCTTCGTTTTGGGGTGGGATGAACTCATTTTATATTTTTCCCTCTCCGTATAGGCCCATTTCGGCTTTTTTGTATTTTCAAAAATATTGATTGAATAATTAGAGTCATTAAGTTATGTGTATTCAGCTCTATATGGCTTTGCAGATCGATTGTTACTGAGTGTGCAGTAATAGACGTGATTTCCAATATTTAACAATACTCAGATAGAGATATGAAATTTGGACAATATCTGATGTTTGAACATATTTTTCATAGTAGAACAGGTTGACATATGAAATATTGTTCATGGAGAAGATCCAAACCACTAACATTGGTTATTATTCCAATAAGCTAGTGAGAATGATTGCCATACAAGAAAATCATTTTAAATAACCTCTCTATCTACCTGTGGGAAGTCGTGGCCGTTCAGCTATAATCGATCATCTGAGAAACTACTGAACTGATTGGAATTATTTCCCCAAAATCAAACACGAAATCAAACAGCTACATCATTCAGAAGTTCTGTAGGCTACTTTTACTCCGGATATTCCCACGGGATCGGAATCAACGCGTATAGTTCACGCGCATGAAGTCACGAGCGAGGAATATCAACTCAGAATTGCAACCCTGCTGCTGCTCAGCCGGGACTATTTATAGGCAGCGAAAGTTAATAATTTAAAGAAAAACAAGCGAACATATTCAAAACAATTATTTCACATATACTCTGTTTCAGGTTATTGAATTTTTTTTCTTGAAAAAGACACTGAAAAACATTTTCCTATATTTAGAGGTAGTTTGTTGTTTTCTGAACAGGTTGCTATTGCTTCCAGATCTTCTTGCAGGATATGACAATCATTGATTTGATTTATCTTTCTATATAATTTGAAATCATCTGCAAATATCAAACATTCGGATGATTTTATAGAGTTTGGCAATTTGTTAATCGAGCATAGAAAGAAAAATGGACCTAAGTTGGAGCCCTGGGGTAGACCTGAGCAAGTGATGAATTTTTTCGAACAACCCCCTTTGAATACCACATATTGTTGGCGGCCCCCTATAAATAAGATGCGTATAGTTCTAAAATTTCAATTGAAAATCCTAGCTTACAGAAACTTCTATTGAACAAAATGTCGTGGTCGACCTTGTCGAATGCTTTTGAAAAGTCTGTATATATAACATCTAGTTGTCCAGCAAGGTCAACCTCTTCATTTGCAGAAAATTGAATAAGGTTGGTAACTGTCGATTTTTTTGATGTGAAGCCATGTTGATTATTCGATAAATTTGGTCCAACAAATTCTACCATTTTTAGATATAAAATTGACTCAAATAACTTACTGGGTACACAAATTAACGCAGGCCTATAATTCATTATCTGATTTTTATCACCATTTATGAATATGGGGGAAACTTTGCTCAGTTTCCATGATTGATGATTCCATGAATTTTTATGGGTTTTAAGGAAAAATCAGCACATTCTTTTATTATGTATGCCGGAATATTTAGCCCTATCGAGAGAACATACACTTTTGAAATAATCTGCGAATGCATTCGTTGTTTCGGTATTATCTGTGGTGGAAGTGCCGTTGAAAATCATTGCGCCACTCACAGTGTCGGAATTTCTTTCAACAGATTTTACATATTTCCAAAATT